CTCCAATCTCCTTCACTCAATTGCGCTCATTCTGGTATCGTCTGTAAGATATTTTCAACCTGTTCAAGTATGTGCTCAAATTCGTGCTCCAGGGTTAAAAGTGATGACGTCACAAGGCGTAGAAAGGGTGTGGGTCCCCATGGGCGCATATGGGCGCACTGGACGTCAATAGGTTAAGTTCACTGATTTAGTTAAAAAAAACACAAGTAAATCCAGCATAATCACGCCAAGCACTCCTCAACTGATTCCAGTGTATATGTTTAAATTTAACAAAGCTTTAGGAAGTATGTGTTAATAACAGATACACGTAAACGCACATAAAAGACCGCAATCTGCAGGTATATGGCGATAGAAAGAACTGGATGTGTCTTACAACAGAAAAGAAACTGTCCTTTTACTTATGCTGACTGTGATTTATAAAGTGTAGAAGTTTGTTCATGATGTTGTGTTTTTAAAAGAGCAGGGAGGGACTTCTTTTGCAAGGACATATACCAAATTGAAATCTGGTGTCCAATTTGAATTCCCATTGTTCTGGACTCTCTAGCATCTCACACATGTGATAATCCTCTGATGTTTCCATGTGAAGATGAGGCTAGTGAATCCAGAACAATGGCAATTCAAATTGGACACCATATTTAGATCTGTGGTATAGTAGATGATGATCCAGATGAAGAATTTAGCCATCTTTCATGGGCTTTCTCCATGCAACCTTGATGTTGTGGTTGGTCTCTCTTTGGAAGATGGGGATCTATAAAAGCATGAAATATTTTTCAAGGAAGCCATGACAAGTGAATTTTAATGAAATAACTATTTATAGATTTTATGAAATTATTTAATTAAATGCATTGTTCATATATGAATATTATTATATTTATTAATATTTCTTAATGTCATTTCATTTTGATTTTTGTCTGCTTATCTTGTTGCAGATTTAAGTGAAATCGATGTAAACACTTTCTTGGGTCCATTTCTTGATGTGATCAGGTCGGAAGACACAACAGGACCTGTCACTGGTGTTGCGTTATCGTCTGTCAACAAATTTTTGTCTTATGGACTTGTTGGTATGTATCCTTCCTTTCATTGGCCATCATTGTGCTTTTTGTTTTGGCTTTGATTGTCACACTAAATGTTCTTCCATTGAAGCAAAAAGATGAACAGATTGAAAATCTTTCAAACTGGGAATAGACAGCTTGGAAAGAAGATTGTGTCTATTAACCACGGGCTTGTGGTTTTGACTTTCATTGTAAACTGTCCTAAGAGTTTTTTGGAAATACAAGTGAGAGAAGTTTTCTTTCCAGGAAAACTCACCTGTGACGAAAGCTGTTTTTTAAGTTGAGTGGATGAAATACGATCTGCTCAATAGATTAAGACACTGTTTAGCTCTGTTTATGGAGAGTAATTCAACTGTTATTCGACTGAGAAGCTTGTGGCCTTCAATTCTAATGGCTATTGTTAGTAATAAATCTGTATAGAAACACTATCAACAGGTTTGATTTAAAAAAAGGAATAAAAAATTGCAAAAAGAGATTGCACAGCTAAATGCATTTGGACCAAAATGTTCTACCTCATTGTAACTTGATAAAAAAACTATTTTTGGGCTGCCTTTTTAAAAGTGGTTATAGAAGTCCTGTATTTCTTCAAATTATTTAGTGGGGAGTTCCAGCTCAGGGAAAGCTTTGGAGACCGGTGCACTGTTTGTGCAAATGTGTGCTTGAAAGTTTAGAGGTTAAACACTTCTTCAGTAGTATTAGAGGGACTATAAAAAAAAAATGTGCATGTAGGTACTGTAAAGGTAGTGACAGAGAGGGGTTGCAATCTCTCCAGCAGCAAGGAGGTTACTTTTTAATTAGGAATTGTACTTCATCCAACATCCAGGCATGACAATATACAGTAACATACCCATAGAAGAACAATTTTCCAAAGGAAGCTTTCAAACAATTATTATTGTTTTGAAGATAGATGTGAACTGAAGGAGAAGCTCATTAAACCAGTTTTTATTGATGAGAGTATTGTGTTGCAGATCCAGCCAGTGAAAGTGCAGCATCTGGTATTGAGAATCTGGCTGATGCTGTCACTCATGCTAGATTTGTAGGCACAGACCCCAGCAGTGATGAAGTAGTACTCATGAAGATTCTTCAGGTGAGATAATTTTGCTTTGATGAAGAATATATTTGGAATCTGGAATCCAATGTTGTCCTTTTGTGATGACTTTTGAACTACAGCAATTGCAATGTAGATGTACTGGTATGTGGTGGTCTGGGTGATGCAGTACACCCTCAGAGCCTGCCAGTATTTCCCTTTTCAGTTTTTCTCTTGCAATTCATAAAAATGGTCTAACTGGTTGTTTTAACAGGTAGAGGCCCAAAACCTTCTGGGTAAAACTTAACTTCTACTACCCTGTGGCCTTCATTAGAGTGGAGTCTCTGGATATCAAATGAATATGCTTCTTAAACTGAAGGCAAAATGTGCATTGTGTAAAATAGCTGGCGAGAATATTCAGTGATAGAAATGTGTTCCCTTACCTGAGTTGAAATTTAGGAAAGAAGTCAGAGAGCTAGTTATTTTAGTCAGGTTGTATTTTTTTGTGACAGTTTAAAGTTTACTCAAACATAAAGAAAAAAACTACCTCCACATTGATATATGGTTATAAAAGTATTTAATATGATGTTTGTCAGGTGCTAAGGACACTGCTGCTAACACCTGTTGGTGCACACATGACAAATGAGTCAGTTTGTGAGATCATGCAGTCCTGCTTCAGGATTTGTTTTGAAACAAGACTTAGTGGTGAGTAAGATAAATTTTGTTTTATCAACTGAGGTGATAATGTAAATTGGCCACTGTTAAGAGTTTCCAAGCTACATTTCTTACAAAGGGTTAAAACTTGAAGCTTCTGTTTAGAATTTCCTTACGGTGGTTAATTTACACTATAAACTCAGATACAATGAAATATATGAAGTTCATATATTTTGAACTGCGGTGTTAGATAGAAATATATGAACTTCATATATTTCATTGTATCTGATTTATCACTTTGACGGGTTTATTACGAATCAACTTAACGGCCTACTCCCAGTTGGCTTGTTAGCTCAATTGGTAGAGCGTTGCACTAGTATCGCAGAGGTCAGTGGTTCGAATCCCATACAGGCCTGATTTTTTTCAGGTCTGATTTTCGCTATTGCTTAAATAGCGTTATCTACTGCGAGGATCGTGCATCATATGTATCTAACACCACAGTTCAAAATATATGAACTTCATATATTTCATTGTATCTGATTTATCACTTTCATGGGTTTATTACGAATCAACTTAACGGCCTACTCCCAGTTGGCTTGTTAGCTCAATTGGTAGAGCGCTGCACTAGTATCGCAGAGGTCAGTGGTTCGAATCCCATACAGGCCTGATTTTTTTCAGGTCTGATTTTCGCTATTGCTTAAATAGCGCTATCTACTGCGAGGATCGTGCATCATATGTAACTATAAACTCAGTTGTTAAAACCAAGTGATCTTGTTACATCCCCCACTGAAACAGCAACATAGTTTCTTTACAAACTTACTCCTTTATTCAGTGGTAAGTACTTTAGAACAATCTAATTGTTCCACGCCTGTAGGTTGTGAACTTATGGTCCTTACTGCGTACATATTTTAAATCTGCACTAAGGGTTTGAAAATTGTAGTGTTTGGTTGGGTTAAGTATTCAAAAATCATGTTTTTTAAATAAACTCCACAATTCTAAGGAAGTGCAAACATACTTGTTTATTGTGTCAGTATACTTAGCTATTAGTGAGAAACACTCAAAAGCTGGTTTTCAGGTATTACACTGAAGATACTGTATTTATTTCCCTATAAACTGATCCTGGCTATGAGCCGAGACCCTAAACTTTTAGCATTCAGAAGCTTTTGGATTCTAATGAAAAATAAACCACAAACACTTGGCTATAACCCTAGACAAAAACTTTTATTGAAACATTAGTGTGAAGTGCTCCACACTTGTTGTTAAGTGAGACAAATAAACAACTGTAACTTGCGATTGAATGCGCCCAATGGCACAGAATATGATGACTTCTCTATCAATGAAATACCTGAACTAGTAGTGTACGATGAAATGGCCTCGAGGCTGACAGCAAAGAAGAAGAAGAATTAATGCTCTATTCTTGAAGTTATCACCAAATGAAACAACTCGTAGTAACCACATTTGTGGACTTGAGGTAAAAAAAAATAATTTTTTTGTTTTTCCTTATCAAGAACTACTTCGTCGTTCTGCTGAACAGACCTTGATGGACATGGTGCAACTTCTTTTTTCAAGGTTAGCTTGTATTCTGATGTGCACCTGTGGTTTTCCCTGTTATTGTGTCAGTATACCCTCAGATCCAAGTAGCAAAGGAAGTCAGCATGTTTTACCTGACATAATATGTAATAGCTCTAACAGCTATTTTAACTACTTCCATTACACTCAAGCATGCTGCAAGTTGTGGGGCATCTTCAACATCATACTGATATTGATAATTATAGTGATATTGTTAGGAGAAATTAGATCCTAGTCAATTCTAGGGTTGAAAGGGCTATGACTTTAAAGTATTAAAATTAGTACTTACTACACAAATAACTGTAACACTGCCTTTTTACTACAAAAAACAAGTTAACCACTGAAATGCACATCCGCATGCAAACAATTCAGCTCTTATTCATTTTAATTTTAATTTCCTTAGACTCCCTCAATTTAAAGAAGAGCTTAAGTCAGGGATGGTCCCTAATATAAGAAAGGTGAGCTCAAGTCAGTTTGAGAGATTGTGCATAAGCTTTTAAGTATAGTTGGGGATTTTTCACCCAAGAAAAGATGAATTGTGGTGGATATTTCTAGTTGAGGTAAGTAGTAACTATCTTTGCCAACACCAAGGTGTATAACTTGTTACTGGATTAAAACTTAGCTCAATTTCTGAAGGGTTTGGAAAGCAGTGGCCCTTAAACAGGGTTCGACATCTCTGCTAGCCCGGTAGCCCGAGGCTAGTAAAAATTTGGTAGGGCTAGTAAAAAACCGTTGTTAATAGCCCACTGGCTAGTAGAAAAATTGAAAGAAATTATATATAGTTAGTTTACTTGAAGCTCACAGTTTATTAAAAAAATCAAGGAAGGTTAAATTGTAATCATTATGATAATAACAATAAAGAAATGTATTTACATTTGGCGGAGCTAAACTGTAAGTGGCAGTGACATGGTCAATGTCTTCCCCAGTCTTCTCCCTACCAATGTTGCAATGCTTTGCACATTGTCTCTCATGATTGCCTCCCACTTGAAATTTACTTAGCTTTTTCCATAAATAACACATTTATGTTATCACAATGAAACAAAAAATGCCATTCTTTATCATTTTGAAAGACTTTGCCAATAAGTTTAGAGAAAGGTTTGCGTGTTTGGGGTTGAAGTAGACCTCAAGGGAAATTGATCCGGGCTACCAAGTTGTGTTTCGGGCCAGTAAATTTTAGAAATCACTAACCCAGTGGCAAGTAATGCAGGTAGCCAAGTGTCAAACCCTGCTTAAACTGTTTTGTTTTATGCTGTCCACAGAGCATACAGTTTAGGTAGCATATTGAAAGAGGACATTTACTCATGTTAAATGGTGTAAGAAAAGTTATTTTGTTTAACATGTAAATAAATTTTCTTAACTAGAATGTAATACTGAACTAGTCTCCCATCTTTCTGTATCTGTATCTATCGATTGATCTATTTTGATTTCTATCTGTTGTTCCAATAGGTCTTCAAAAGAGCTGGAGCCATGGCGACTGGAAAAAGAAAGAAGCATATGTCCCCTAAACCAAGACGAGGTCACCTTGAAGAGATGCCCCCTACAACAACAATAACAACAGTAGCTACAACAACAACTGAAACTTCCTCTGATCTTCTGAAAGAGGATATCAAACATGAAAATGTGTCTGAAACAGATCCTACTCTGCAAGAAAATATCATTCAGGAGTCTTCTAAAATGTCAGATTGTGTACCAGAACAACCTATTCCCAATCTGGACACAGGCAAGTCTGCTCTTAATGAGGAAGAGCCATCTATAGCATCACAGCTTATGAGTAGCGAGGTAGAAGGGGATGGTCTGAGCATGGAAGGAGTTGTTATGTCTGAAGATGAACGAGATGTGGTATGTGAAAAACGAGTGGAAGAGGTAAACATCTTTATAACATATTAAAAACTGTGGCGACAGGCATTGGGTCCAAAGTTGGGATTATGTTACTGACTCAAGTATTCAAATTTTCCATGTTTCATTGTACTTGAGATGCAAACTGAGTTGCAATTACAAATCACAAACTACTGTTAGGAATGAAGGATTAATGTAATTAAAAAATAGTGATTCCAAGTAAATTCAGTTGATTAATATGTAACAATATGTAATCATACGAAATTCAACCTAGCTTATCACGATGGCGATGTATAACAAAGAACTTAAAAGAACACTGTAAATGAAATATTTTGATTGATGGAAATGCCTATTATAAGGAAATCAACTGCGCATACAGAATTGTCTGGAGCTTAACTGGAGAAAGATGATTGGAATTGAGAAAGATTGAGAAGTAAAAACTACATTGTGTGCTATTATATTCTTTTGATCACTGCAAGTGAGTTAACAATTAAAATCAATTGTAATGTTACTTATTAACCAAGCGCGAGGGCCGTACTGGGAGAATATTGGCCTGAGGTCTTGACAGTACGGACCGAGCACAGCGAGGTCCGTACAAAAAAGACAGAGGGCTGATATTCTTCCAGTACGATCCCGAGCAAGCTTGGTTAATAAGAGATTTATTATACGACTGAAGCTCAAAGGGACACAATTGCGGTATCATTCGGGACCATTCGGGACAGTGCCTGGTCCAATACTTAGAGAATATTGGACCGGCAATAGAGCATTTTGATTGGTTGATTTTAGTTATTGGCCCTCTAACTGCCCGAGTCATGTAATAAATACATTTATTACATGTCTGAAGTTTAACGTCTGACTTGGGAGGTTGTTTTTACCAGAATCTCATTGGAATTAATTAGCAGTCAATTTTCTAGTTATTATCATGATAGTCATATAATTATGTTGATATTAATGTGTAAACTAGGTTGGCCCAGATATTGTTGCTAGCTCCCTCGTGACAGAGGATGATGGTCATGTGAAAGAATTGATGGGAAGTACTGCATCATTAGAAACGGTTGAGTCAGAGGACTTGTCGGAAGCAGCAGAGGGAAGCCAAACAGAAGCAATGCTGCAACAGGATGACTATGTCAACCCTCGTGGAGTGCGTTTTACCCCACAAGAACCTGTTAAAGAAGGTAGTGATACCAGGCACTCTAAACGACCATGGTTATATATTTTGATTTGAGATTTGTTTGGATGAAACTCAGTAGTGGGTCTTCATCTTTAATGGCAAGGTATTGGTGAGGGCATCCAATAGCATGCTTTAGGTAAAACAATAGTATCCTAGTTTCTGAGTAAAATTTATTTTCTTTGAGCCTCATTAATGCATCACAGACTCTTTTTTTTGTGGTATGGGATAAATTTGTTATATTAAGCTGTTGCACCTGTTTCTGTTGGTCTCATATACTGTCATTTACTAACTTCAGTATCTCTTGGTAGGTGCTGGTCCTTTGATTCCCTATGGCTTGCCTTGCATTCGAGAATTATTTAGATTTCTTATTTCTCTCATTAATCCCCATGACAGGTGAGTTTGAAATGTGAAAAATTACGCTGTAATTGACAGAATAAGATGTCACTCTTAATGTTTCCTGACTCTAGAGTGCTTATAAGATATTTCACCAAGAAGACCTGGGCCAAGTTTTTCAAAGCTGGGTTAAGATAACCCAGGGTTGGTGTAAAATCTGCTTTCAAATCTGAAAGGTTTAAGAGAAAATTCAATATTAATGATTCTTTTTGTTTAGAATTTGATTATTGGATGCTCTAAATGGAATAGGGAAAATTATCCTGAAAGGCTTTTGAACAATAGAATAAAGAAATCCAAATTAGAATTTAACCTTGGGTGAGCTTTAATCTGCCTTCAGACAATTGAACTCTGGAATATGATATCATGGAGCATTCGAGTCAGAAAATCCAGCCCTTACTGTATGTGTTACCCAGTTATAGATGACACACTTAATTGATTTGATGTTGTAATGTTTTTTTTTTATATATAATTATTAATGCCTTAAATTTTAGTATAGTAGTTGAATTTTGGTTATTAATTTTTTGTGTTGTAAGACATGTAGTTGAAATTTATAATTCATAGATACCTGTGGAATAGAAGTTAAATGATACATGTTATTATTCTTCACCTTTTTTGTCTTATCATTATTTTTATGATTATAATTAGTACCAGCTCTTAATTTTTAGACAGTCTCTAAGTAGATCAATTTTAATTATTTCCTTATTGTCAGGCATAACTCTGAAGCCATGATTCACATGGGACTTTCTCTGTTAACTGTTGCTCTGGAATCTGGTTCCCATCACATTGGAACTTTTCCATCACTTATGAATTTTGTAAAGGATGACATGTGCAAGAATCTTTTCTGGGTATGTAGACTTAAGAGTATCTTTATATACTTAAATCGTAAAGTAGTAATAATAATAATAATAATCATAATAATGATAATAATGATAGCTTACTTTATTTGTAAAGTAGTAATAATAGTAATGATAATAATAATTATAATAACAACAACTTGCTTTATATAGCTACAGTGGCAAAGACTCTATGTACTCATGACATAGATCCTTCGACCATAGAGCCATTATTAGTGAGTCGCCTCATCCCTCTAGATAAGGGGAGGGTGCTGTGAGGCCAATAGGAGTCGGAGAAGTGATCAGGAGAGTATGCGGGAAATGCGTCGTGAACATAGCCAAGAGAGACGTTGTTGAGGCAAGTGGCTCATTACAATTGTGCACGGGGCAGAAATCAGGGAGCGAGGCTGCAATACACGCTATGCATAGAATCTTCGAAGCAGATGATACCGACGTGGTCCTGCTGATAGATGCATCTAATGCATTTAATGCCCTTAATAGGGCAGCGGCTCCACACAATATCCGCGTTCGTTGTCCTGTAATTGCAGTCTACGCCATAAACACCTATCACCATTCAGCCTGGTTATTTATCACCGTTGGTAAAGAGATAACATCAGTTGAGGGAACAACTCAAGGCGACCCACTTGCTATGGCAATATATGCCCTCAGCACCCAGCCCTTGATAACAAGTCTACAGGCCATGTCAGATGCAAAGCAATGCTGGTTCGCAGATGATGCTTGTGGAGCTGGCACTATCTCAGATATCAAGCAATGGTGGGATGGTCTTAATACATTCGGTCCAGACATTGGCTACTTTCCAAAGGGAAAAAAGTGCTGGATTATTGCAAAGCCAGAAAAGGAGGCACTTGTTAGAGAAGCCTTTAAAGATACAGCCATTAACGTGACAGTAGAAGGGCAGAAGCATCTTGGAGCTGTGATAGGCTCAAGAGATTATCTGCAGGACTATGTCAACGAGAAAGTAACTAGCTGGGTCAATGAAGTTGTTCAGCTGGCTGAATTTGCACAGATTCAACTGCAGGCCAGCTATGCTGCATACACATTTGGTTTAAAGCATCGTTGGACGTACTTCCTAAGAACTCTCCTGATGTCCAAGATCTTCTAGAGCCACTTGAAGAGGCTATTTCCCAGGTCCTTAAACCAGCAATCGTAGGGCACAAGTGTAGCAAACTGGATAGAGACGTTCTAGCACTACCCGTGCACCTAGGGGGCCTGACCTTGAGCAATCCATGTCACGAGGCGGCATGCGAACATGCCTCATCTATTCAGATGACATCTTCTCTTGTCGAACATATCATGGCTCAAACTCATCAACTACCCGACGAGTCCCTCATCGAGTCAGGGCGTCAGGCTGTCAAACATGGAAAAGCTGAATAACTTTCAGAGATTGCAGATAATCTAAAACAAATTGTTTCACGGAAGACCAAGAGAGCTCTAGAGCTAGCACAAGAAAAAGGCTCCTCTGTATGGCTCACAGTTCTTCCCCTTCAAGAACATGGTTTCAACCTCAGCAAGAGAGAGTTTTGCGATGCTGTTAAATTACGCTTTGATTGGCCGTTCGATGACATTCCATCAGTGTGTGCATGTGGGGAAAACTTCACAGTAGACCACGCAATGATTTGCAAACGAGGGGGCTTTGTTATGGAAGGGCATAATGAGTTGAGAGACCTCGAGGCCGACCTTTTGAGTATAGTGTGTACCGATGTCAAGGTCGAGCCAGTTTTCCAAGACATCACTGAAGAACAACTCAGCAGAGGGTCTAATAGAGCACAAGACGCAAGATTGGACGTTCGGGCGTGTGGCTTCTGGGATCCCCAGAGCTTGGCATTCTTCGATGTGAGGGTTTGCCACCCTAATGCCGAGTCTTACAAGGACCGGGAATCGCAGCAGATTTATCGCATCCATGAAAACGACAAAAAGCGGCTGTACTCAAGGAAAGTGTTGGATGTTGAGCATGGCTCGTTTACGCCGCTTGTATTTACATCTACTGGAGGAATGGGGATGGAATGCATAAGATACCACAGCCGATTGTCCGAGCTGATAGCCACCAAGAAAGGGGAACGATACTCGCAAACAATTTCCTGGATCCGAGCAAAGACATCCTTTGCCCTCCTTCGGTCAGCCTTAGTTTGCCTTCGAGGATCGCAGGTGAAGCGCCGCGCTGTGTATGACTATAATAATTGTGACGTTGAAATCGCAGCTGCCAAGGGAACCATTGACATTGTTTAATGATTTTTAGCAGCCTTGTATATAGGGTTATAGATTTGCCATTCACCTTTCTCTTTTCTGTATAGTTTTAGATATGCTTTTACTTATCAGATTATTAGACTTTGAATCTGTTCAGATTTGACTCCGTTATTTATAGTTTTCCAGATGCTTTGACAAAAAAAAAAAGGAGTAGATGTGAGCCGAAAGTGAGTTATTTTGGATCGTTTTTTCCCCGTTAATATTTTGTATTTTAGAGGATTTTATGGAAATTATTGCTAAATAAAATTACTTGCTTTATTTGTAAAGTAATAATTATAATAATGATTATGATAATAACAACATTAATGGAGCACTCCACCAATGGGGCTTTTCAGGGCCAATACAAACAAATTGTAAATATTGAGTTTAAAAATCCCAACTGGCCAGGGGCAGACCAGTTGACTTACTAACGAAATTGCTATGAACAGATGATTCTTTATCACTTTCCTGGAGATGACAAGAACTCCTTTCCTTGTTCACTATTGTGCTGGTGTTGACCTCTTTAGCTCATATATGCATCTCGTTTTCAAAATGTAGGTTATGTGAGTACTCTCATTCTGTCCAGTCCACATACCTATATAATATTTCTGAAAGAAAAAAAAAGGAAAAGGGGCAATTCCTTTGAGACCTTTGCAAGCTGAGCAGGCATTTACTTTGCAAAAATGACTAATCGCCACTGAGTTTGATGAGAAAAGTACACATGGAGCACTTTTCACTTGTGTAGTATTTTGTAATAATAACTATTTTCCTGTTGCATCGTATTTCTTCAGCTTATTCAGTGTGATGTTCTTGGACTCTTTACCATGGCAATGAGAGTGTGCTTCCTGTTGTTTGAAGGTCTTCGCACAGAATTAAAATTCCAAATGGAGGTTTGTGTGGTAATGAGAGATTTTTAGGGAAGAAATTAGAAAAGGAAAGGAAATGTTTTGTCTTGATATTTCTTTTCCAATCATTAATTCAGTGTAACAAGATAGCAACATCTTGATAAGTCTAATAAGCCTGAGTGTTGCCCTTGGCGTGCCCATGAATAAGGCTTCCTAACTTTGTTCAGGTGTGGCATCTTCCTCTGGACAACCCCCCTGAGCATTTGAACTTTTGAAGATTGGCTTGTTCTTATTGCCATTGGGGCCAAAATTGTGTTCAAATGCCCTGCCCAAGTGCCAGATTTGATGGTCAATTCTTTTGTAATAGGCAAAATCAGTGACTAAGACTTTCTTCTTGTTGCCTAAGCTTTAAATTCTAAACTTTGTAGACCTTCTCTTCTGAGCCAAACACCTAGATGTATTTAAAAAAAGTAACAATTTTATTCTTCTGGAAAGACTTGACACTTCCAGCTCAATTTATTCCCCCC